TAATTCACCGCTTTCTGCTAGTAGACTAATCGTTGGTGTGTTTTTAATTGCTCCCAGAGCTACTCTTAAAGCTTTATGCTGAATTATGTTTAGGGTTTTTAGTGCGTTATCGGAAGCTGAATTTGTCATCCGTAATCTATTTTTGATCTAATTAACGCTTTGTAGAGTGTGAGGAGTGTATTTTTATTTGATCCTAATTTATTTTACGAATGCTAGTGTATTTAGAACCCCTTTGCAGTTTTCTTTTATATTATTAATATGAGGTACCCATGACAGTTTTTGGTCGAATATCATTCCTAGAAATCTCGTTTGTTTTACATATTCTATTTTTGTATTTCCTAGATAGAGATCTGGTTGTTTATTTCTTCTAGAAAATGACATGGCCACCGTTTTTTCTTAAGATATTTTGAAGCCCCATTTATCAGCCCAGTCTTGTATAGAATCTAATGTTCTCTGAATTATTTTACTATTATTTGTTATATTTAGACCACTTTTCCATATGCTGGTGACATCAGCGAATTGTCCTATGCGGGCGTGCATTTTATTGTGGCTTTTTACCTTTAGATGATAGTCTAATTTGTTCATATATAAATTAAATAAGGTCGGTAAGATTACACTACCTTGTGGTACTCCATTTTCTAGTGAATGTTCGTCTGATAGTATATTATTTATTCGTACTTGTTATAGCTCTTTTTAAGGACCTTTTTATAGCCTCTAGAGGTTTTATTCATGTTAACTCGGTTACTACTGGTTATATGATTTTCCAATTTATGTTTTGCATCAAAAAAGGCACGCCTTTTTCTTTCACAGTCAGCTGTAAACCATGGTTTGTCATTAGCAACTGTATGTGTATTGAGTGTTCTATAATTTTGTTTTAATCCGAAAGTATCGGTAGCTGAAATTCGGAACAACTCGGAAATATAATTAACTACATCATTTACTTCAGACTGACTGACAGAAGTTTTGTCAGATAAAACATTATGTGCAACATTTATACGTTTTAATTCATCGACAGAACAACTTTGTACATGACGTATAAATTCATTTTTCTTATCATTCGTCCATGTTTTATATCGACCTTGACCTTGACCAACATGCATATTATCAGAGTCATTTGTGTTTTTCAAAAAACCACTGAGAGTAAAAAATAACCTACAATGCACATCGGATATTGTTGGATCAAACTCGAGAACTTCAAATTCATTTACAAAAGGTAATATCCCTGACGATACGATTAGATAGTCAACAACACTGACGTCACCACTGTTTGTTTGATCTAAATGCTTATCTTTACCAACTCTACCAGTCGCAATGTATAACTTTTTATTTTTACACAGGTCAAGTAGTTTAAATCCATAAGTATTAGGTCTGGATGAGCACTGGCTAAATCGCTCAAATGGAATATTAAAAACATTTAACATTTCATAATCATGAAAATAAAACTATTGTCTTTATCTACGATATCTGCAAGGCTATCGTCAGGTATTTCATAGTCTGGACGCTATACAGTTTTGGCATTGAAATCATCAACCAAGATAGTGTTACTTACACTATGTTGAAGCTCATGTAACTCATTTTCAATCTCATTAAATACCTCGGTAGACGAGTACCTAGAGTTTTCGGGAGGTATATAAGTACAACCTAAAAGTAGGTCACCTTCAGTATTTGTTACCTTTTCAGATAATTTGACCCATTGGGCGTATTCAGAGCCTGTAGGATAAAACTTCAAAAATGGTTTTAGTTTCTTTTTGTAAACAATTACAATTCCACCAGATTTTTTCTTAAAATCAGATCTGTTTTTCACGAAACATGAATAATTTTCAGGCATTTCCAGAATATCAAAATTGTCAATTTTAGTTTCGACAAAAACAAGAATATCGTGAGATGTAATTATATCAATAAACTCAGGCAAAAGCAACTTGGATTTAATGCCACAAACATTTAAACAAGTCAGTTTTAAGTCAGGACACACACAACCATGGTTACCATGGTGACTTACATCGGGACCTCTTGTGACGCGTGGTGCTGCATGATGGTGCGGGTTGGTGCCATATGATGACAAGGGCGGGGGGACTGCGCCAGTATTCACACTTTCCCTACTACCCTGGGAACAGTGTTCTCGCGCACATTTTCCTTTAATGATGCCAAAAACCATAATATTAAAAAAAAACATTTCTATGTGTGATGTTTTAAAGAAGGGTAGAAAACTTAACTTATTTATCAAATGTATGTATGACCATTTTAATAAAATAATAAAACCTAATATTGCTGTATGTATGTGAAGTCTGGGGTTACACAAACACTCAGATTTTTGAACGTTTTCATTTAAAATTCTGTAAATTGATATAAGGTTTGAAAAAAGTACACCAAATTGTATGGTTTATGGTGAACTCGGCACATGTCCCCTTTTCATTGAAATAAAAACTAGAATGCTTAGTTATTTTATAGCATTGTAATTTTGAAAAATATCTAGAACTGTTGATTAAAAAGGAACGAATTGTATTGTGTAAATGTTGATTACCAAAACAGAAAATGCACATATTGCGATAACCAAGACATTGAATTTCACTACTTGTTTAAATGTCCCTTTCTGTAGACTGTCCCTTTCTGTCTACAGAAAGGAAGTTATATTTATACAAATACTAATGCCTCAGGTGACCGTTCAGTGTAATGCCAAATATTGTTTAGTTCTCAGAACTAATGAGTACCAACAATGTTAAGATTTTAAGAAATTTATGCAAATTTATCAAACTTTTGTTTAAAAAAAAGTATCATGATTTGTTCTATATATATATTACATTTGATATTGTATACTGTTGTATATATGTTTTCTCTGTACATTTATAATTTTGTAAAGAGAAATAAAGTTGAAAGTTTAAAGTTATCACATGTAAGTTAACAGGTAGATTTACCTGTTGGATCTCAGACATTATTTAAGAAAAAGACTATAATTCACATCAAAACAAGTTGTCCAACAGTCCTGGACAATCCAATTAAAAATGTTGGCACTCGGAGATACACCCTATTAATAGTATATGTATATCTCTGGAAGTCAACTCAAATTGCAAATTGGAACGCGGAATTAGGCAACAACTTTTCATGTCATTTATAAAAAAAAATGGATTGATGTACTTTAGTAGTTCTAGTATAAGAAGCGTAAAACAATTCCTTTCATTTATCTATTATATTTTTGAATTAGTAAACCTACTCGTCTACCCTTCATAAGTAGTATAAATTGAATACACATCATTCCTTGTGTGTGTCAAGCACGTACCTATGGTATTAGGTTGTTAACATACGTTTGTATCAGTGTCAAGATCAGCTGATTATTTTATACGATTGGTTTCTTTAAATAGGTAGCGTCGGTAAGGTCTTTGTCAGATCCGTTTATGCACTCGTGATAGCATTCAAAACTAAAAATAGAGACAGCTAACGAGCCCAACAGTGTTGGATTTGGAAAATCCACTATCTAAAAATAAACAAGAAATGGGTTATTCTGGACATACGGTGAAAGGCTGGGGTAAGTTTTTAACATTTCTTCTCTTCCAGATAACAAATTTGAAAAAGGTATTAAGAACGACTGGGAATATAGTGTTTATTTTGATGTACAGTTGTTGGCCCAGTTAATTGTAGTCACTGTACTGTAGGACGCGTTCAGTTATCGAACGTCCTACTCGGACTAGCCAACAGGATGTACCAAACAAAANGTCTGGAAGTCAACTCAAATTGCAAATTGGAACGCGGAATTAGGCAACAACTTTTCATGTCATTTATAAAAAAAAAATGGATTGATGTACTTTAGTAGTTCTAGTATAAGAAGCGTAAAACAATTCCTTTCATTTATCTATTATATTTTTGAATTAGTAAACCTACTCGTCTACCCTTCATAAGTAGTATAAATTGAATACACATCATTCCTTGTGTGTGTCAAGCACGTACCTATGGTATTAGGTTGTTAACATACGTTTGTATCAGTGTCAAGATCAGCTGATTATTTTATACGATTGGTTTCTTTAAATAGGTAGCGTCGGTCAGGTCTTTGTCAGATCCGTTTATGCACTCGTGATAGCATTCAAATCTAAAAATAGAGACAGCTAACGAGCCCAACAGTGTTGGATTTGGAAAATCCACTATCTATAAATAAACAAGAAATGGGTTATTCTGGACATACGGTGAAAGGCTGGGGTGAGTTTTTAACATTTCTTCTCCTCCAGATAACAAATTTGAAAAAGGTATTAAGAACGACTGGGAATATAGTGTTTATTTTGATGTACAGTTGTTGGCCCAGTTAACTGTAGTCACTGTACTGTAGGACGCGTTCAGTCATCGAACGTCCTACTCGGACTAGCCAACAGGATGTACCAAACAAAAGTGTTGTAATCAGATAAATTGACATTTCACCTTTATTATTTCCAATCAACTAAGTACAGTCTTTCCTTTAATATGACTTATCTGGTCGCACCTGTTTGGTCGCACCTGTTTGGTCTTACCTGGTCGTACCTGTTAGGTCGAATTATAATTCAAATTATTTTATTACATTGCGCTTTACAGCTCATCTGTATAACATACACACACAACTATTACAAAATAATAACATGGTCTTACCTGGTCGTACCCGTTTTGTGGTATATTTTTTTACTTTTTTGTACCTACAGTCTTGTACGTGGTCACCATTGTTGTTGAGGAATAGTTTTGTTAATAGTTTATCCCTGTCCCTTATCGAGTTAGTGGGTATGATTGAGCATGATAACTGAATTATAGTCTACCTGACAGCAAACAAAAAATCCAATCGTGGGTGCCTTTAATTTATGTTTTATTCATGTATTATTTCATTTATCTTATTTCCTTCTACATCCTTTTATCGATCATTAATGCCACTAACAGCCATTTTCTGTGTTAATTTCCATTGATCATGTTATAATAAAAACGTAAACACAATGCCGTANCTAACGCATTGTATGTTATTTGATTAACTGAAGTTGTATCATGATAGCAAATAATTCGCTCTATTTGTAGTGGCTGGCACAAATGTTTTCCTTCTGACTTCAGGGAAAATACCAATATCTTAAAAACAGATATGGACCAATGAGTCATTTGTAAAATAGTGCATTGTATGGTTTGTTTTTGATTCAGGAAGAGGAGGTTGTTTGGAATGTATTGATGTAAATTGTAATTATCATGAACTGCCATTACATTTGTATTGACTGTATTGTTTATCTCGAATAATTTACATCGTAGTCGTGTTTGCTCCAAAAACAGTTTAAATTATCGCAGTGTGTTTTAAATCGATTATTTCGAAAAACTTTTCTCGAAGAATTTGTTTGTAATCTCATCAACTTGACAATTCTTGTTCTGAAACTGTTGTATCAGTAACTATACTATCAGAATGGCATTGGTATATATTCACAGTGAATAGGACGAGTTTGTGTATTTACAATAATATCATGGTACTTTACTAGTGTCTGTAAAATTGCCATTTAATTATGCCATATTGCATCCATACAAATCTTTTAGGTTTTTCCGGAAAGTATGCTAGACTTAACATAGACCTTAGGTAACATGTATCTATTTTTATCCTACTAACGTGAATCACGCCGTGTGTTTAAACACATACACACACACACACGCTCACAAACGCGCACTATATATAACATATACGCAATATGTGGGATGTTTCATATACCTGATCACCAGGAGTATAGCATGAGATTTATTTACGGCGGAAAGGTAATGTTGAGATTTATTTAAATGTTTCATATCTTGAAGTATTGTTCTACAGTGTATACGAAAATATTACAGTTTCTGTCTTTTTACTTTTATGAGTTACACAAATCAGATACAAATTTCCTATCCGAATTTTTACTAACTAAAAAGACTTCCTTAACTTTCGTTTTTCAGTTGAAATTTGAAAGTTTCCTTAATTTGCTTTCTAAACTCGAGCAATGATTAACTTAAGTAAATTCCTAAAGTTTGTGGAACTGAGGTTATGTCTTAATCATATATAACCTGTTTATCGTATAGTTTAGGATTGTTTTCGACATCCATGTGTGTAAATGGCTAGATATGTGTTTATTTACAGTCTTACTGCTGTCAATCAATATCCTGGTTAAGGATTAGGTCTGGATGAGCACTGGCTAAATCGCTCAAATGGAATATTAAAAACATTTAACATTTCATAATCATGAAAATAAAACTATTGTCTGTATCTAAGATATCTGCACGGCTATCGTCAGGTATTTTTTTTTTTTTTTTTTC